TTTATTTCTGTATAGTTTCCATATATCCAGCTTTCTGAAAGTCGTCCATGTACAATATGCTACGAACCACTAGCATATCAAATCCAAGACTTTTCCCACAGGAGTTCTTGCAATGGTTGTGAACACTTGAGGAGATAAGAGTTGAATAGTGTATAATCAAGTCGGAACGCAACCCTTCTTGCCGGGATACGATGAATGAAGAGTTTTACTGGCTACTTGAAAGGAATGCTGATCAATTGACTCGTTGGAACTGGCCTAAATGATGGCAGGAAGACTCGCCGTCCATTTTCGTTCAACGCTCGAGCTCCGGAATGCATCCCCAATAATACACTCATAGGGCTCAGTTCTGATTCTATTCACTGTGCTAGGATTAAACGTGCGTTTGGTATGTATTCGGGGTCCGAACCTCTATCAAACAGACCATTGAGACAAATACAGATCCTATTATTGTCAAAATTCACTGTTTTATTGTTATCATAGCATATTCTAGTATTGCTCTATACAGTAAACTAACGTAGGCTAGCTGTCTGGGGTTCATCTATGTATAGTATAGCACACAATACTAGTCAAGTTAGATCATACGATGATCACGAGCTAGTCTTGTTGATGTAGAGGGAAGAGTCGGTCATTAACTGTTGGTCCTGCCCGAGGTTGTACTCGTTCGGAATACATTCGCCACGTTCGGAGACACCAACTGTATGGATAGCTAGACCACACCATCAAGAGAACGGGGAATGGAAACCTTCCTCCTGAGATCGGCTACCATCTTCATGCCCGATTAATAAACTCTTCATCTTTTTTTAAACCCTCAAAGTTAGCGCTTGGTTTGTGCATCCAGATAAACACCTACATGACTGCTCCTCCCACCAAGAAGGTCTGGAAACGCGCAGGGGGTGGAGGGGGAAGAGGAGGGAGGAGAAGAGGACGAAGACCCCGTCCTTTACGCTCCGGAAGTGGACCTGGGACCTCTGGCAGTACGCAAGGTGGGAGTGGAGGGACAGGCCGCTCCCCCGTCTCGTCTACATCCTCCTTTGGTTCCGGTAAAGCCGACTATTTCTCTCCTGGTGGTGGCAACTCCTTCACACTCGGCTCTTCCTCTCCATTCTCTGGTCGCCTTGCAG